GCGACTACTGCACGAAGGGCTTTAGGAGGCCTTCGGAGAAGAGCCAGCACATAGCCAGGCATCATAAAGACATGTTGATGTAATGTCATCGCACACAAAAACACACTCCTCTCCCAATTTAATCTGTTTCACACACCCACAGGTGATTTTAGTGTATGGAAAAAGAAATGGTGTATTTTGGTTGTTGAATGACACCATTATAATTGCCATTCTGTGTTGTAATGGGCGTAAACCTCCCTCCAGGGGTATGAAACAACACATTTTAAATGGGGTTGAAATCTAAAAAAGGACTGTGTACACTGAGCAGGACATCTGTAAATTGTGTTTTGTTTTGTTTCAGAAAATCACATATGAACATATATTCAGGGTCTCAAATGTCTATATTTTTATACCCACTCAGCTGAAATGCTGCAAGATGACTGTGTCCTGTAAAATAGAAAGTGTTGCTCCGTAAGCTTCATGCCACTTCTTCAGATTATGTGGAATGAGTACATGAGGAGTTTGCCTCCAAAAGTACCAACAAGTATCTCTTTTCATTATTAACTAGCTTTTACCCTGATATTTGTTTTCAATGCCATCTGGTCTTAAAGGGGCAGGGACAATTATAAGTTCATTAATATGTTTTGAGTGATGATGACAAACATTCAGCACCTTAAGGAAATATATCAATAAATCAAACATTTGGACTTCCATCATTTTGGATTTTCCTCCCAAGCATGAACACTTGGAATACCATGAAGTTAATCATGTATAACATAGGCTTTATCCTCTTAAATATTTCTTCAAAGTTAAGTCAGCATTGTCTAACAAGAAGGATAAATGGGGCAGTTGGTATGATTGAAAAATATCCCTTTAGTGTGCACAACATGTGCGACAAAGAAATCTGGTTTGATAATGAACAGGTGTATCATATGAACTATACAGATGGTTGGCTTCACGTTTGATAACCCTTGAAGTTGTGATACCTGACTGCCAGTGTAAGTTGCGTGTGTGTGTGTGTGTGTGATGTTATCTGTGACACAGATGTGATCTCTCAGCTAACCATTTGATTGCAATCATGCCTTACATCTGTTGGTCTTTGTCCCTTAAGCACTGATGAACACCGCTAATAAAAAAATAAGTGATTTTTAACTCTCAAACATGCTGTATCAATGCCATTCTCCCAGAGATTGTGTGTTTGAGTCAGTAGAAAGCACTTTATTAACCTTTTTTTAATATTTTAATTACATGTGTGACACACCCACACAACTATATATACATATATATAAATATGAAAAACCTAGATGATAAACAATTACAGAGCTTTGTGAGTTGGTAAAGGTGAGCATTGTTTTGAGTGTTATCGCTAGCTAATGAGCGTGATCCATCACTGCATCAGAACTGAATTGTGATTGAAAGTGGTGGGTGAAACCATTAGTTGTTTTGTTCTATGGATAAGTGATTGGGTTTTGTGTTTTGTTTGTGCTCACTAACAAGTTTCCCAGACCCTCGTCCTGCAGTCCCAAATAACCCGACCCATTATTCCCATCAAGCCAGTGGTCATCATATTGGCAGTAGTCTTTAAAGTATGCACATAAAGCTGTCTCCATGAAATTAATTGTGGTATATATTAAAAAATCCCTGCATTTCGTGTACCTTAGTCTATATTTTCTTTCAGTCTGATTGTGGATAAACTACTGGCGGGGAAGAACCAAAATAAACAATTATCTTTTTACGCTTTTTGTCCTCTGTCCTAGAAAAATAAATCAACTTCTATATGACATTAGAAAGACATAGTGCTTCATAGTATCACTAATGAACAGCCATTTGCATATAAGTGTTGCTGGTTGTAGTGTTCAGTTTTTTGCAATTCAATCTCAGTTGGTATTTTAATTGAAAAGAGGACAGGACTTACAGAGGGTTTACAGGGAAACCTCATTCAGGGAAGACATGTAGGATGTTACCAAAAGATGGGAAGTATCTCCCCTTTAGGGACATGGATACTCATTACTACCGCTTCCACAAGTGAAATTGCTTAAACCTTCTATGATTGGAAACTTAAAAGGTACCTTTATCCTTTTTTTGATGGTGTTGAAATTTGAAGTAGAAGAAATGGGAAAAAAAATGGGCAACATTTCTCTGTGAAAGTGAATTCAAATTTGAACTGAATCCATACTTAATGCTCCAACATGCCGGTGTATGAAAGAGGGATTTGGAGTTAAAGGAAGCGCAGTCTGTTGTATTTCAGTCTGAAACTTCAGCCAAATGGAACTCAGCCATCATTTATATGGATGTTTAATAAAAATGGTTTGAGCCATCATGCACATAAACATATACTTACAAAGCAGAAGAATATATGAAGAATACCTTTAAGCTGACTCCAAATCATTCACAAATGAATTTTAATACTTGTTAGACATTTTGATCCTATTCAGATCTTTATCAATGGTAAGATAACAGGGGTTTCTCTTTTCAGAAACTTAAGTTACCGGTAAGAGTTGTCATTTTCCTAGATTGAATAAATACGTTCCACTACCTCAACAAAAAGAAACAGAAACTGACCACAAACTAGAAGCCAAAAAATGTTGAGCTTCTTATGAGAAATAGCGATACGTTTGTCAGTCGTTTTTGTTGTTTTATCTACCTTAGAGCTGTCTTGTATCATGGGGAGGATATGATGTTAATATACTGTATTATGACAATCAAACTGGTTCATTAAATTGTGTAGATGTTATAATAGAGGTAAGTTACTGACTGTGTCTTACATGAAGTGGAAAAAACTAATTGAATATAAAGGTTTGCATTAGTGAAAAGGGCATGCGGGGGCAGCCAGCCCTCCTATTTGAAAGTCCTCTTTAATTTCATTAATGCGCTGTACATCTGTCAGAGTGTCTCCGACTCTGTCATTATTAAATAAACAACTGAGTGTTTTTTCCTCCACATAGAGACTCACGAGGGGATTTGATTCTCTCAACAAGATGTGTTGCAGGCGTCTGGTTTCCCCTTCATGTCACCTGTCTCGAAAGATGAATGATGCCTCGAACTGAGGGAAATGAGGCTGTGCATATGGGTTCACATTGGCACCACGAACACCTCAGAAAACGGATATCACAGTCTGTTCATTTTTTGTTGATCCCACAGAGCATGCCATAAATCAATAAATAGTGCAGCTGTCTGCAGTAAATGCTGAGAATACAGGAAAACAACCTGTAAAATCTCCATAAGTTACCCATTCTTCTAACTGCATGATCCAAGAATCCAGTAGAATATGTTATTTTGTTTTGAATACATTGATTATGCAGCAGCAATTCATTTTATGTTGATTTCTGAGTATATTTAACCACTGTCTCTTCTCCTGAGCCTCCTCTTTGCCTGCTTTGAATCATTAGAGCGTCAAACACCCACACGGATACAGCTAACAGCCCCTGAAGGCCATCACGTTGATGAGAACTGACAGATATACACAGATAATCCGGCCGTTGCAGAAGGTCAAACTAATTTATTTGATGTAGTCATTTTGTCCATATTTCTGGGGATCAATGGGCTGTGGTCTGGATGTGATTAGAATGATGAAACTGGCAGTAAAAAAGAAATCAGGGTTGCATGCTGATGTGCAGGGATTTTAAATTTCAGTGACTAAAAAGGAGATCAATCATACACAAATGTTTGAGTGGTTGTATTGTTTTCGGTCACTGGCAGGGGTTCACAGTGGCATTAATCCAAAATATTCCATTGTAGTTCTGCACCAGAGCATATTCTTTTGGATATTTTGTTCTGCGCTGGATGATAAATCCTAGTGTCTTGTAACAGTTGGCACATTATACTAAATGGAATAATAGATAAAGCAAGGACAGTCAGATCCTGTGGTTGTGCACACATAACCATAGCGGTCCAATCCAGATTGTAGACGACAAGGCTTGAGGTGCTGCAAGCCAGCCTTGGCCCTCTCGGAAATCAGAACCAGGACATTTGGAGACAGGAAAAAATGACCTACTGATAACCCAGAGAAATGACTGTGAGGTGGACTACACATCAAACAGAGACAAACAGAGAGAGAGAGGGTAGCTTATATTACTAATGCAGAGCAGTCTGACTCAGCCATGCTTCTCAATACTATGTTGAACATTTTCACTTCCTCAAGTTTAATTTGATGTATCTCAATCTGAAACGAAAAACTGTTTAAAACATCTCAGAAGTTATACTGTATATTAGCTAGACGTAAAATGTCACCAAAATCATTGAAAATGTGTGTTAAACCTTTACATCATAAATTGTTCTTCATTTTTGACCAAGTCGTGTCGATATGAAACAGTATTTAGCATCAAACTATGAACATTGATAGTCAAACATCAAAGTAACTTTAAGAAACAAAGATTACAGAAGGAGATAGCTTTAAATAGATACAAACTAGTAGGCTACTTGAACTTAATTCTGCATTATCATGGTCAGAATTAGTAGCTTGAAATGTTCTGTGAGAGAGAACAATCCCTCCTGAGAATTCACTAGATGTCACTGTTCTCCCCTCCTTCTCATACACACTCACTGCGCTGATCTCTCAGAGTGTTCCCAAAAATAAATGCATGAAAATTAAATGCACTCATTTATAACTCAGTGGCTCGGATTTTATATGGGACTCCAGCAGAACAAGAATAGGGCGGTACTGTTGTTTGGTTCTCAGTTCTCTGTCGAATAACTAATCAATCAGAGGAGCAAAAAGCACACAAACATGAAAGTGTGTGAAGAGTTGGATGTCCTCCATTGATCATAGATTTGTGAGTGGTAATCCCATAAATACACAGATACAACTGCAAAAATGTAACTCCTTTTATTTAATTACGATGCAATGTATTCATTTAGGGCAACTTGTGAAATAAACCTTGACTATGATTACACACTTAACTTCCAATGCGCGTTGTTTTAAGCGGGTACAGTGTTGGACCTGTCCATTTACAGTGCAGGAGGTTTTGACCTGGATCACGGCTGATGCGCGTCACCGCGTATGGGCGTGGCTAACCAGCTGAACAACGCTGTGTCCTCCGTTTACGTTGCAGCAGACTTACAGACTGACACGAGAGAGGAGCGGAGGGACAGAACCGCCGACCACCTCGCGATCGTTTCGACCCGCAAGTGATGGAGAGGACGGAGATTTTTTTATACACCTTCCTCGCGTCTGACTACGTCTTTAACATCTTGTTCATCGCATGGCTCTTCGCCAACGGGACACCCACAAATGTCACCAACTATGGATTGCTTAATTGAAGTTGGGCCACCTGATCCTGTTTCCGCGAGGACAACCCACCGACATTAGAGTTAGAGAAGTCGTTATGGACAGTTGTGCGAATCGTTCATTTCCTGCTCAGAGAACTGGAGTCAAAAGCAGTATTGCAACCGCATGATTTCACATCTACTTGCGCGTAAAGGACGCAGAAGAAACGGTTCCACTGCTGCCTGAAATGCTCTGCGCCATGCTTTAGTAATAATGGAGGAAAGCTGTAGTTAGAAGTACAGGACATGTTTGTGTGACTGTTTTGCTTCTGCTGGATTTGATGAGAGAGTGGCGGGCAGCTTTTTAACACGAATACCAATTCTGCGCGGCAGTTGAGTCGCTCTGTTTCCAGAGGAGATCCACCGCATCAAGAGACCTGGAATCTGTGACAGGCAACAGGCCTCACGATCACTGTGACAGGTACACTGACAGACGTTTTTTTTTAAAGTCCTGCTCTGTTTGCTTTCATTACTACCAAGAGAGTTTTTTTTCAAGCTGCGTTCAATTGCTCCTGTGAGCCATGGCTTTACCAGATAGTGGCATATCTGCGGAGGAGGTCCCCTTTCCAGAGATTATAGAGCTCAATGTTGGCGGCCAGGTGTACATAACCCGCTACTCCACCCTCACAAGTGTGCCAGACTCCCTGCTATGGGAGATGTTCAGTCGAAAGTCAAATAAAGGACTGGCTAGGGACACAAAGGGTCGTTTCTTTGTCGACCGTGATGGCTTCCTGTTCCGTTACATCCTGGACTATATGAGGGACCAGCAGCTGGTTCTTCCAGACCACTTCCCCGAGCGAGGCCGTCTGCAGAGGGAGGCTGAGTTCTTCAACCTACCAGAGCTTGTCAAACTGCTGGCACCCAAAATCAGCAAGCAGAACTCCCTTGGGGAAGATGGATGTCAGAGTGACCCAGAGGACTCCTCACCTGGAATCGACTCAGCCCGGAACCTCAGCTCCCTGGGTGCTGCTGCTGCTGCCTGTGCCAGCCTGGTGCCCGGTTCCATGGACGGCAAACGCTCCGGGTTCATCACCATCGGCTACAGGGGTTCATACACCCTGGGACGAGACAGTCACACTGATGCCAAATTCCGCCGGGTGGCACGGATCATGGTGTGTGGGAAGACCTCTTTGGCCAAAGAGGTTTTCGGGGAGACCCTGAACGAGAGCCGGGACCCTGACCGCCCCCCCTGAACGCTACACATCCCGCTACTATCTAAAGTTCACCTTTCTGGAGCAGGCGTTTGACAAGCTGGCTGACGCAGGCTTCCACATGGTGGCCTGTAACTCGACAGGAACCTGCGCCTTTGCCCATGAGCAGACAGACGACAAGATCTGGACCAGCTACACTGAATATGTGTTCTACCGTGAGTGAGACTACCGGCTTTGTTCCTCCCTGGTTCCCTATCCTGTCTCCAAGTGCCCCCCCCCCTCTTCAGCCTCCAGCCATCCTGCCCCCCTCTCTCTCTGAAGGCTCCTTCACCAGTAGATGTTACATAGATGTTGTGCCCCTCCATCTTTCTCTGCAGACTCCTTTTTTTTTTTTTCCAGCCAACTCTTCACACCTTCTGCAGGTCAGATCTGCAGCTCCCACCTTTGACCCCTGATTCCTTTGCCCATCTTCAGGTCCAGCTTTTGCCCCTGCTTAGTCATAGCCCCCAATCCTCAACCACTGCAACCCCACAGCCACTACTGCAGAGACTTGCACCTTCTATGTACTGTTTCCCCTTTGTACGCCATATTTTGCATCTGCCTTGGTGAAGCACAAAAGCAAAGCAAATTTTGCTCAAATGAAAGTGCCCTGGAGTGTCGGTGGGACTGTGGCAGGGCGAAAGGGAAAGGGCTCCAAAGAGTGGCCGTGATGCACAGTGCACAGTAAACTTTGCCTTCAGATGGGACTTTCTGCTGCGCTTGTGAACTAAATTACCAAATAATTGGACAATGTATCAGCCTTGAAGGGCGTGAGCATCCCCCAGCACAAAAGGAAACAAAAATCAGATTTCCTGCAGTTTTTATTAAATGTGTCGAGTGCGTGCCATGTGGTTGGGAAAGTGCCATATAGTTTTTTCGCTGTTATAATGTGTTAATGAGCGTTTATATAACACAACCACATGAGTGGGAAATAAAGGAAAACTTGGATTGTAGGTTTTTGGAGTTTCCTTAAGAGAGAAAAACAACTGGCTTTGATTTAAAAAAAAATAATAATAATAATAAAAAGGATGGAAGCTCAAGTATCAAGTGAAATCATAGACAGAGAAAAAAAAGGTTATCAGATAAAGCGTGAGTGTATTGATTGTCCAATTAAGATTTCAGTATTTTAATCACCCACTTGGGAAGGGCAGGGGAGATGGAGGATGTAACATCGGTCAATGTGCTTCTTTGACGTGTTTTTTTTTTTTTTTTGTCTTAATAACAATTACAGCAAAGCTCGGGGCAGGCATACATCATGGTAACATGTTGTCTTCAAAAATAAAACAAAAACACAATTAAAAAAAGTGGCTGTCACATAAGCGGATCATGTTTGGAGTGTAAACAATAATGTAATGCATTATACTCAGTTCAGTATTTGTTGAAGCTGTTGCATATTTTATGATAGCTCTCACTGTGTACTCATAAAAAAGGGAAGGAATTGCCCAGTATTTTCTCACTGCTGTAGCAAGGGCATTGTATGGGCGGATAATTATAGTGAGAAAGATAACTTCAGTTATAAAGGATAAGTTTAGAAAGAAGGTGGTTTCCGGATATCACCTCAGGACAGGTCAAATACCTCAGACTACAACACAAACAGAAGGAACTCGGATTCAACAAAACATCCCGCTGATGATGTAAAAATGAAGACACCATATCCATAAACTGTAGAAGCTTCAGATTTCAAGATTGTGAATAGGAGGTTGAATATAAAGTGGTTTTTCTGAGTTAGGCAGCATAGTGCAGGATTTCTCCAGAGCTAGGAGGTGTCAGGTTGTAGTTTTGGCAGAGTGTCTGACAGTAATAATAACTGTATTCTGAAATGTCTAGAAACCGCAATGTTGTGTTTCAGTGTGATGAAGTGCTGTTGACATCTGAGTCGATATGTTAGGCCTACTGCAGTGTGTCGCTGCGGGCGTAGATCACTGAAATTAAAAGTGTTCAGCGAAAAGCAAATTGATTTGTCAAATAAAAGATGTTTCCTTTCTATCTGGGTTGTATTTTCCATTCATGAAATATTTTTTTTCTCAGTATTGAATGGCTTTTAGGAGAGTGGTGCTGGCTCAGTAGTAATTTCTAATTTCCACGGACAATACAACTCAATCACGTGTAAACTAATTCAAAATTTCAACCAGCCTTTTTCTATTAAAGGGAATGTCCTCGGACGTTAACTCTACTTCACATTAAATGTTGAACATGACACCCTCAGGCTCGGCACACAGCTGCTTTTTCACTTTAAAACCACATATATACATTTTTTTTATATCAAGTAGTTGACAGGAAAGTAGAGCCAAACAGAAATGAGGACATACATAGATAACAGGCTGTTTTAAAGCAGCTTGCGAAACCCTTATTTGTAGGCAATAATTGATCTAAGTGCAACATACAGAAGAGGAAATTATGAAACTAGTTGGGACTAAAATCCAGGGCTGTGAAACACTGCAGAGACTTGATGAAACACTGTGGATATAAAAGGGTGCATAATTGTGACAGCATTCAGGATTATGTTTATGTAGGTGATGCGGTCACATGTTGTATAAACCTCGACTCGTATAAGTTTTAAAGAGTTAATCACATGCTAATTACCTTAGTATAAGACTTCCAAAGCTGATCGCAGCCTAGCCTAGATAAAAGCTGATGAGCGTTACAAAAACTGATGAAAAAAATGTATGTGGTTCATTTCCTTGATAACAAACAATTTAAGGGAATGCATGAATCCCTCAGAGGCAGTGACAACATTTAGCCTACAGTGTCCAAAAAACACAGACACACACACAGACAGCATTCCTCTGTCATTGTCCTCGGGCACGCTACAGTGCCATGGGAGTGCCAAGGTCAGTCATTAGCACGGCCACGGAGAGACACGCCTCACGTGTGAAATTTCAGGCATCGGTGTCCAAAACTGCTCTCACGCTTTACCTCCATGAGTCGCCTTGAGACTCGACATTCAACAGTCGATGTGTGAGAAGTGTTGACACTCTGACATCGAACAGCAGCGTGGTCCACAAGTCGGGCTGTGATGAAACACGGCTGGTGTTGTTTCTTTTCAGCTTTTTATTGTAAACGCTCTGTCGTGAAACTTTTGGCTGGAAAGTGTTGCACGCCAAGAAAGAGGTCCAGAAGGTTTCAGTAGAGACATTTGACCATGAAAGCTGCTTCTTAATTAGTAGGGTTTAAAACAATTTGCCAAGGACACAATGAATTCCATGAAAATAAATCCAATATTTCATCTATAGTCTCATTTCCTACCAACAAATGTTGTGCATTTTCAGTTAGCTTCTGCAATTCATTATTAATCTCTAGCCATGACGGCAGAAAGCAAAAGAGAAAAAAACACCCTGAGAGTACAAGCCTGTCCTCTCCTCCTTGAGGCGTTGATTTGACCCGTGTACTGGTCCTGTGGTGCTATTGTTACTGCAAGCAGCTCAACATGGTAACATGCCTTGGCTCGGTCCGCTCTCCTCTGTGAGAATGATCCCATTGTCTCCATGCCAGCTGGGTCATCGCTTCTCCTGTTTTTTTGAAAAGGAAAGGAAGAGAGCATAGGAGGAAGACAGGAAGGGATGCATGCCAAAGGGAGAGAGGGATTGGAAAAATGGGGCAAGGAGGCAGAGAGACAGATAACCTGGTAGGAGCGAAATGAGAGCGTGAGAGTATTTAAGTGGGAAGGATTTGGTGTTCCCATCTTAGATCTGCAGAATAACTCCTGATGAAGTGTCCTGTTATGGTGTATGATGGTCTTTACAAACAGAGTCTTCACTGAGTCGTGCTGTAATGTGCTCTTCTATGGCCTGCCTGTGAGATGTAGTTACATCAGACAGATATAAATCCATAGGATTTCACTGATTCATGTGTTATTTCAGCAAAAGAAAGGTTAAATAGACACCCTCCACCAGAAAAATGTGTATTCTCTGTCTAATCTTTTTTTGTAAATCCTGAGCATTTCCTCTAAATTGACTAAAAAGGTCTAGGTTCCTCGACTGCATCCTCGTTTATGAATAGACATGTGTTCTAGTGACAGAACAAAGCCCAAAAATGAGTCATTTTCTCAAAATCTTACACTGAGTATAAGACTATCAGATGTCATCCGCATGCTGCTGTTTTTATGTTCTCTCTGAGCTCTCAGCCACAACCATCTGTGGCTCAGCACTTGTTTGTATTTCCCTCCGCTTCGTGCCTTGTCTCCTTTTGGATGTGTGTTGCTCGTATAACTTTGCTTTGCTCTGTTGGGAGGACAGGTTGAATTCAGTGTTTCAGGCTTTGCATTTGGGGCCATGTGGGGGCAATGAATTATGTTCGCTCCCTGTCTCACAGATATGCTGATGAAGCAGTTGGCATCTCCGAATTTGCACAGACACAAACACAGACACATGCACAAAGGTGGGAGTGGTTGCTAGGAGAAGATGTGCAACAACTCTCCTGTGCAAGACTAATGATTCAGAGCAATGAGGTTTGAGGTTTAATTGGTCGCCTGCTTTTCCCTCTTCTTTTTGCCCAGTTAAAAATGCATTAGCTGGCAAACAAGCCATTTGCCTCCCTCATTCTCTCTCCTGATAGCAATAAGTGAAAAACCACCTTTTATAGATTGCTGCTAATTAGAAATGGGAGCATATAGTGGAGAACATGCAACAACAGCCTGAGGCCTAATACTGCTTTCTCTGTCAGTATGTGGCATATGTGCTTTTGTTTATTTGCACATGTATACATACGGGAGCTGCTGTGTTTATGTTTGTCCTTGACTACTATACAGTTCGCCCACACCGCCATGTAAGCCAGTATGCAGAGTACAGTAGCGCTGGCTCGGGGCATCTTTATCTCATTGTGTGTTGTGTTATTTATAGTGAGCCAGGCATTGAGTCAGAGGTGTACCACCACTGCACCTCTCTCTCTCTGTGTTTCAGCATGGGTACACATACTGCACTGGCCCATGTCTTTATCCTCTGCCCACACATGAAAGCTGATTTAACAAAGCATATTGGACACCAGGGGGGACTTGGTCATGCGAGCTCAGGGGGTGATGGTACCCAAGGGGGAAGACAGCAGAGGAAGTCAACACAGGACACGGTCTATGAACTGAAATAGAGTAGATTAGGCCACTAGTGAAGTCCTGTACAGTATCTTCTCTTTCCTCTCTCCATGTTGGCTGTTTTTTATTCTCTTTACAGCCTCCTTTTTTTCTCCTTTAAGTTCCATGACACAGAGAGAATAACTAAGAGAGGGAAGCATGAGGGATGGGGATGAGGGAGCATGAAATTACAGCAAAGGGAGTGAGTCAGAGTGTCAGAGGCATGTGTAGGATTAAAAAAGAATGTAACAAAAAGGATATCTCAAGCAGTAGTTCTTCATACACAGCAGCAGTGAGTTGGTAAACAAGTGAAGAAGAGTTGAAGGAGATGGGCAGGAGCAGTTTGAAAGAAAAAAAAAGGGAAACAGCAAATTGGGCAAGGTGGGGGAAGTTGTGTCTCAGGAAACTGTCAGAAAACGGTTGAACTCTTGATTTGTCACAAATACAGGATACAAATGACATAGTTAACAATTCCTTCTTTCCTATTTCTGCTGAAATTTATCCTTTAGAAGGTCACAAAGTGATACTAAATTATGGTTCTTTGTAAGGAGAATTAGATTTTGGTCTCTGTTTATTGTTTTTGAATAATGCTTTAAATATGTCACTTTTCCATCCATTATTAGGGAGGTATGTAGTTTGTCTATTGTAGTTTGGTGGATTGTATTTGTTCTAGATACTTTGCTTTATGTTTTGGTATTTGGCATTTGTTAAGGGAATGGGAACACTTTACATTTGTATGGACGAAGCAGGGTGCTTCATAAATATATCTTAGCCCAGGGCCTATTGCTTTATAAAGCAGGTATAGCTAATGCTTATCGTTTGATTTCTATCTAAAATGTTGGTTTCATAAGTTTCTTTCTTGCAAATTTGCATCTCAAAATGGCAAATTACTTCAATCTGAGGAGTTTTAACTCCATGCCATTAATCACTGATATAGGGGGGTGAAACTAAAGATATTGATGATTTATTTTTCTAATGAAAAGTTTGGCATCTACTTGATCTGAAAAACACTCCACCACTTGGTTTTATTGGGTAGTAATTTAGAATTAGTTTGCCGCATAAACAGCATGTTACTTTGTGAATACAATTTGAAGGGACATTGAGCACTGAGCAGTAACTATGCCTGTGCTGGTTTAATGTGTTTCACTTTAAGCAGGGAGTTGTAAACGTGTCTGTCACCGCTGTAGGAAGGGATTCACCTTGCCATCTGGAGACTTGGACTCTAATCTGCCAGTCTAATTATCAGTAATCTGAACAGTCAGGTATATCCTTGGTGACGGACTCTTGGGCTGTGTTGAAACCTGGCTAAAACCAGGAAGAGAGGAGGAGCAGGTGGCAAGGGAGGGGGGTTACAGGCTCTGCAGGGGCTGAGGGGTGCCAGGACGGGCTTTAGGGTGCTTAGCAGACTGGTTACGTGATTTGGTAGCCAGGCAGCAGCTCAGGGTGTTTAAGGCACAGAGAGATAAAGAGGAGGCAGGTGGAGCAGGTGAATCAGAGAAACACTTAAGACTGGAAGTACATTTCTGCAAAAATATAACAACACTTTTTTTCTGCAGATAAATTGAAAAGTGATTGAATTCTTTCTCACAGTTTTCTCTGGCACATCTCTCTCATTTCTCTCAAAACCCCTGTCTTTTGTTTTTCCAGAAGCTCCCCGGTCTCCAGCTGTTTATTTCACGCATTTCCTCTACATTATTTAGATTGACAGGTCTGTAATTGCTCCGAGACTTGTGAGTACACTCCAGTGAATTTGATATGGGCGAGTGTGCTTATACCCCAGCATGTCACGAGAATATAGCATTGCCATGTCTGATCACGCCCCAATATGTATTTGATCTGACAGCAATCAGAGAAAAAAAGACAATGAATGCGAAGACCGTAGGTGGTGAGGCCCACTCTGTCATTAGGCACCATACTGATCGTTTCACAAAGCAGATGTTCGATATCTGTGCTGAATACGAGGTGATTAGATATAAAACATGCCGTAATTGCCAAAGCTATGTAGCGTGAGCTCCCTTTAGAGCAGCTGGATAGAGCCATATGCACAACTTCACCCTCGTCTAAGAGGCTCCTCTCAGCCTAAGAGATATTACTGTGCGTGCTCCTGCAGATCATTGTGCCGCTGCCATGGAAATGATGGGGCCCCCTTGTTTGCCAGCCTCCCCACTCTCAGGTCACAACACCTGTCAGTGACCACTTTGAATTTTAAAAAGTACCGAAAACGTGATTGGCTGTCACATATTCAAGGTAATTCAGAATCAGCAACTACATCCATTTACAGTTCTTTCACAGTTCACAATTCTTTGCTTTATCCAATAGTTAGACAAGAAGATTGATACCAATCTAAACTCTGTCAATAAATACAATATGGAGGACTACTTAAGCTTAGCACATTTGGAATCAGCTACAGCAGTCCAGCTCTTGCTCTGGTAGGAGTTACCGTGCAGCAACTCAAGAAGAAAGTTACAAGCTTGGCCAATAAATTGACCACTAACCCCATAAAGGATTGATTTATCAATCTTACATTGTGACTATATACTAGACATTTTAAACTTTAAAATATAACATAGTAGTGTATAATCATATATTTAGCTTAAGATAGTCAGATACAGGCTAATTGTTTCTCCCCAGTTTCAGTCTTTATCCTAAGCCAAGCAAACTAGCTGTTAATGTTAACATGGTATCAGTGTTCTTGTTTAACTTTGACTGACATCTGTAAAGCCAATGTCAAACTATCCTTTTAAAGTCATTTTTAAGTCAAGAAGTAGAGGCTAGCAAAATCATGGCTAGCTGCCAAGTCACTACCAACCACTGTTTTCACTACTAGCTTAGAGTTTAGGTAGCGTTAGCTGTCTTTGTTGTACACGCCAAGTGGTAGTAACAAATAATATGACTCTCAAAAGATCACTCTATTAGTCAACCCATGTTCAATCGGATCAATAAGTAAGGGAGTCTCAGAGTTTGCTAACATAGGGAACGCTAAAGCTAACAGATAACACATTTAGAGCCATTATAAACCAAATAACAGAAAAGATGGACTATAATTTGGATTCTGGAGGAAATAATTGAATGTAAACATTGGTCTTCGATGACAATACTTTGAAAGTGAATTTAATGGTGTGTGGGAATACATGATGTGCTATGATATAAAATATAAGGATTAAGGTAAGGTGACTAACATTACACGTGGAGGAGACATTTTGTGACAGAGGGGTACTAAACTTTGGCTACTGTGACACATTAGAGTTGCTAATGGCAGTAGTGATGGCAACATAGACATGTGCCACACTGAACAGATAGGAAAGACTGAAAGAGCGGCAGCAAGGAGCGGATGTGTGAGAAAGTGCTTTGGCTTTTGCATATATATCCCTGGAGAAGTGGCCTGGGGAAAAGGGTTGAGTGCTCTCTTTCGCTGTTCTCCTCCATAAGGCTTAGCAGTAGAGGAAAGCATGGAGCCCATCCCCCAGTGGATTATTCTTCCAACAGCTAAGCCCACATACTCCCACGTCCAGGCGGCCCTCAAACACACATGTATTCATTATGAGGTACATTAAACACACCGAACACACAAATACAAATAGGGGACAGCATCTTTTTGCAAGCCCCTCCTCCCTCTGCAGCTTCTTTCTCGCTCTCTGTCTTTATCTGTCCTTCTTTTATATGCACAAGATGCATGCCCATAATATAACACACACACACACACACACACACACACACACACACACACACACACACACACACACACACACACACACACACACACACACACACACACACTCCTCTTCGGGTATTCAGAGAGCCAAGGAGGCAGGAGAAATATTGTATGCCGCCTCCGTTTGACACAAGCAGCTTTGCCAGTTATATAAGAAGGGTAACGGTGACGATGAGTCCTGTTGAAGCAAAGAGAGGGCCACGAGTGTCTTCATATGTCTGTACACATTTGTGTGCGTTTGAGTTGTGTGGAGTGCTCTGTGGGTGTAGTGCGATGTACCTGCATGTCTGAGCACATAAGAGTTTTTGAGAAAACATAATTATCATGCTGTAACAGTGTGCACCAAAATGTAGCTGCTTCACAACAAAAAAAGGAACATGTGTGTGATTAAACTTGGCAGGACTCATTTTATTTAACTAAGGCTAAGGCCATGTCCAAGTTATTTGACTGAATGTAAATGTTTTGGGATTTTTCTGTCTGCAGAATATTTTCTGTTTGTTTTTTATTAAAGTTTAGCTTCCATATTGAAAGGCTGCAACATTACATTCAGCTTTGATCTCTTCTGTTGGGCATTTGCAGCCATGCAGCTTCACAAGATTTCCTCAAGAGGCTTTTGAAATGCCAAATATTGTTTACAGATCAGGCATGACGAATAGAGCACGTCGAAATTCTCCCAAAATGGATCACATGAGAAAAAGGGCTAGACAATTCAAAACAATCACATGGCACAGAAGTGCACTCCCTATACACCCTACAACAGATAAGTGGCAATTTTGGGTTTTTTGCAGAAAGTTTCTTGGCAAAATCTGAGGCAGTGTATCATAATGTAGACTGTAAAATCAAAGGCAAGGGAGAGGCTGATTACTTGTTCACTGGGTGAAAGAAAAGGTTGTTTGTGAAGAGAGAAGGAGCAATTCAAAATGGTTGATGGGTACAGAATGTGCACATGTGCCACTCCAGCTATGATTCTGAGAAGTCGCACCGTAGCAACCCTGTCTGTCCTCGCACAGGGATGAGATGAAAATCAACATACCATGAAAAATGGCTTGTCAAGCTTCAGTCAGGAGGCTTCACACCATCCGTTCAGTCACAGTATTCCTTCAAGGATAATGTAACCTACATGCAAGCAGCGGTACGAGGGTGTTCTGAAATTAAATGGAACTGTCCTCCGCTCTCCTTATCTCTCATTTCCCGTCCTCTCCTGCTGAGCTCCTTTTCTTTGCTAATTTCTGTTTTCAAAATGCTCCTACACGCCTTTGTGCCAGACTGTGTGTACTTTTGTGCTATTGAAGCAATATTGTAAAGCTCAAAGCTGATGTGTGTGTTTCTGTGCCAGACACACAATACTGACACATTCTGATAAGGCAAACAAAAAAAAGCAAAATGTAATCAAATATCTGCGCTTCAACCGTTATTTTAACCTTATTTTAAACAGACCAGAAACCTGAGTGTGAATCTGTTATCCTGAATTATCAAGCCTTCAAAACAGTTCAATCAGGAGAGACTCATGTAAGAGTTAACAATTATTTATTTAACAGTTTAGGAAAAGATAAATATGCGCAATGTCTTTTGCGAGTATATTCTGTCATGATGACCTCATGCTCTCAGAGAGGTAGCGAGGCCAACAGCAGGATAGGATACCCCCCCTGGAGTCTAGACCCTGGTGGTGGTGGTGGTGGTGGTGGTGATAGAAGAATGCAGGATGTGATGAGGAGTGGGTTTCTGAGGCTGTATCTGAACTCTGCTGGACTGGAATGGAGGTGACTGGGGCGGAGGAGGGTTGCAGCGATCATACTGAAATGACAAGCTGACTGCTGAAGGGAGAGAACAGGTTTTAAAATTTGACAGTTGCGGGATGATTGGTTGACAGATGTTGTGGCAGAATCGGGTTGGATTATTACATAAGGAGGTAAATGCTCATAATCAGCTGATCACCAGAGCAGGGAGATTGTGGAAGTGGTAGAGAGGGAGTAGCTAAATTGAATGAATGTGTGGGGGAATATAACCACTAGCCAGTCTTCTTGCTTGAACTTAGGCTGAGCTTCATTTAATTGGCATGGGGAACCTTCTCTGTGCTTTTATGCTGTGACTTAAAGGAGAAAATCGATACCCCTCTCATATCTGTGAATAAAAAATAAAAAAGTATCACTGGCAGCTTGTTGTCTTAGCACAAATACTGGAAATATAAACAGCTACTCCTGACATATCCTTTGGTTTTTCTTTGGACTAAACAAATCGGATGTAGCATAGTTATTTATTGAGCTAAAGAAGTGACTTTCAGAAGATTCTGTTGCCTTTAGATGGAGTCAGGCTTCTGTTTTTCTCTTGCGCTATAGCTAACCAGGTGCTTGTTCCAGCTTCATATTTACCTTAAAGACATACAAAACGGTATATTTTCACATCATTTTGCATGTTGGGAACTTATTTTCCAAATGTCAAATTGTTCTGTGTAATGTATGTTTTCTGATGTTTTTATTTTTTATTTTACTCCAGTTGTTTTCCAATGTATTTAAAGAAATGGTTTGAGATTTTGGGAGATACAATTATTATCATCAGTGCATAGAGATAAGACTATTGTCATGTCTCTAAAGTATGTACTGATGTGGAGCATGAGACAGGAAATGATCAGAGGTTTAAAAGAAAAACAACAAAATATAGCGTTACCAATGGGTGAGCATCAGAACTGCTGTCTCGATGATTTTGTTACAGAGCACTTCCTTTTCCTTTTTTTCCTCTGTGCTAAACTAAGCAAACAAGCTGCTTTTTCCATCTTATTGTTTAAACCTGAAGTGACATTGACGAGTGCGGCTGTTTTCGTGAGCGCAGCAACAGAAACAGCTGACCCTGTCTGCTTAAACTAGTAACTGATGGATAACAGTTAAACTGTGCAAAGCAAAAGAAACCGCATATTCCCTTAAAGTACAAACTGTTTCTCAACATTGTTCATTGTTTATGAGCTTAAAATGTTTCAAATGAATTAAAATGAAATACCTTTTTTTCTTCTGCTGTAGGTGGTTTGGGAGGGGTTTCCAAGGCAGTGACCTCTGGCCTCACGGCCTTGACTGGAGTGACATTCACTGAACCTCCTGCCACTCCTGCTGGAACAGAGTCAGCGGAGCCTGGCAGCAGCGGCCGAACCCGCAGCCTCCCAGAAACCAGCAACAGCATTACACTGGACCCACGAAACCCACTGTACATGGACTCTCCTCCTCCTCTTACACCTCCTCTTCCTCCTCCACCTCCTCCCCATGTAGACTGCCCTGACCTCCCTCCTCTGTCACCTCTAGTCCTGCCTCCACCACTGCCGTCATCCAAACATTCCACTACCTTCAGTCCTCCTCTTCACTCAACGCTGCCTCTCGCAGAGAGCCCGCAACGTCCAAGCACTCTCAACCTGAGGACACTGCCTCGTCCAGGCATCAGGGAGAATGGGGGGCCACCGCCGGGAGTGGAGGAGGAGGAGGAGGAGAGGAAGTTGCTGGAGGAGGATTTGAAGAAATGCATTGACGACTTCAAGAAGATCCGCTTGCCGTCTGTGTTTCCGGATCGCAAGAGGCATTGGCAAAGTGACTTGCTCAAGAAGTACAACGCATAGAGTACTTCACATAAATTCAGGAAGCGCTGACACAAACTTTCTGAAGATTTTCAGCAAGTTTACTTTAACTTGTGATATATAGCTTTTGCATGTAAACTGATTTTTTTTGATGAATTGCAGTGTTTAGGCAGAGCTCCTCTAGCAATTTCATAGTTACACAATCAAAACAGAGATCTGCCATGTTCCCATCATAGGAAAAACTCCTCTGTAGAGATTATTAGTAACACATCTTTGTTCCACACAACTATTTGGAGACATCAAAAGTATTGATCAACCACTTTCTTTTAAATCAATGAAGGAAAGTACGTGTGATGTTTTAAATAAGAGATCTGTTCTGCTTTGTATTCTCTCCACTGATCAGCCTTCTGGAAAATGTTAGCTAATTATCAAATTGTAGGCATTTGACCTTGCTGATGCAAAATAAAAGGAAGACGTGAAATCTCTGGTGCTAATCTTCTAAAAAAAAATCTCTCCTCATCAATATTAACAACACTTCAAAGCCTTTGTTCTCGTCGCTGCGTTGAATTCAAAAGCTCTTCAGTTTGCTTCTTTTTGTGATTACATTATCTTCAAGTCAAGAATGTGTTGTACCGGAAAGCAAAGTGGGAAATTACAGACGGCCAGAATGTGGAATAATAATGGCAAAAATGAGTACATGAACTAAGGCACAACTCCATTTGTTCTTCTCTGCTCTGCACAATATCTTCACCCAGCTTAACTAATTAATTGTCGGGATTATGTATCTCTACGCACCTGGTTCTAGTCCATCTTGAGATATATGGGGTTAGCAATAAATTGAAACTTTTTTGTCATCTCTTTAGTAAACATCAAGTAATACTTAATATCAAAGATCGACTAAAGAGCAATAGTTATGAGGATGACTTTTCCATACAGGGATGGAGATGCAAAGATCACCAAAACTCTGTTCATTTTGGAGCTAGAACCTGGACGTGGTTAGCTTGGCCTAGAATAATACTGAAAACAGAAAGGAGGTAGACATGCACAGTCCAAAGTTTAAAGGCTTGCCTTCAAGCACAGACACAGCTTACAATCAAAATCTTATAATTTCTTTGATCTACACAAGACCCAACTGCTAAGTGGCTGTGAAAGTATTATTCAAACAATATTCACAGAGCACTGAGGTCAATGCACGATTGAATATATTTAGTTGTCTAAGTGTGCCAGTTTTAATCATTACATTTTCTGTATCTTCCTAATTCAACCTGAGTAACACCAAAGTCCAACCTGATGCTCTGCCTTTGATCATAATGAGCCCGTGGTCATCCCCAGAGTCTTTGGTTAAAAGACCTAATGATGTTTACTTATCACAGAGCTTTTTATCAGCAACATTTCTTTGCTTTCTTCAGCTTTATGCACTTCAGCTCTGCATCGCCCCGGGCCAGTATTGAGGTTAAGACATTAATCCTTAAGTGTTGGCTGTGAGGGAAGTTCTATCTGGTTCAGCATCAGACAAATGGAATAGTTTTTCAGGCAAACTGGTAACCGAGGAGCAATAGATATCCTCCTGCTCTGATGAGAGGATTAACAACAGATTAGGGTTCGTCACAGTCCTGAAGACTCTCTTAACAGCAGGCCATTGCTCTAACAGGCTTCACGATGACACCGATTTATACCATCCAGTCAATCCTTTCCTGAAACATTTCACGCCGACATCAACACTCCGGCTCTCTCCAACTGGCAGCTGATTGCTGAGAAATCCATAGAAAAGATTTTTCTTCGCAGCTCATTAGACAGTATTGCCTCATCAGCTCCTTTTTCTCGTATTTCTCATCTTTCAGCATTGGCTTCGACAGTGACAGAGCACTGGCCGGGCTCCCGGGCTGGGAGGAGTATCATCGAGGCGCGCTTGAGTCAGGACGCATGCCGAGGACTGAAACAACAAGTTCTCGCAATTTAAAATTCCTGTTTACTGTGGCAGAAGCTGCACAGTCTGCTGTGTTGGAGCTCTGTTAAACAAAACAGACATCCCTGTTCAAAATTACAGTCCTTGATTTGCATTTGGGCCTCTCCAAAGGAATGGGTTCAATCCTCAATTCTCTTTCACCCTTTTGTCTTTTTGTATATATCTTTTTGAAGCTGGCCTTTTTACTTATTGTGGATGCACTATAGGAGGATTTGATCTCTGAAGATGATAGGCTCAGCCCACCGACAAAGGGAATACTTACCCTTTGAAAAGAAGAGGTAAACGAGTCTGGTGGGACCAGGAAGGACAGAAAAATATTCCTTGACAGAATACTTAAGTACGGTGGATCCTACAAATTGTAGCTGCAGTGATTATCACTTGACTGAGATAGAGCTAACCATTGGGTCCGTCTTTAAAATCATACCTTCAAGTTTTCTCTGTATTTGAACCCCATGCATCAAAGATATTTTCCCCCTGTGATTTTGTGATGAAAGTCCTGAACCAAGCCAAGATCATTTTTGTTTTAAAAACTTTGATGCTTCTTTGAGGAACTTACTGTTAGCCTTGATTGGCCACCCCTGTGGACAAGGCGTTACATCTTATCTCATTACTAATCTTGTTCTGCACGCGTAAGTAGTGTTTTTTCAACAAAAGAAAATATAATCTTGATTTCTTTTAACAATGAAACAGATCACTCACAGTGAAAATGTAATCAAAGGTACTTCTGGTGCCGGTAGCGTAGTGGTTAGAGCGCATGCCCCATGTAGGGATTCTATGGTCCTCCAAGTGGACGGCCCAGGTTTGAATCCTGCCTCTGGCTCCCTTCCCGCATGTCATTCCCCACTCTTTTTCTCTGATTTCCAACTCTATCCACTCTCCGATCTCTACAATAAGAGCCCAAAAAGCCCCAAAATAAATCTTTAAAAAGGTACTTCTGGTGTGTTCAGTGTAATTTGCTTTGTGTGACACCAACAGAGCAACACCCAGCATTAAAAAAACAACAACACAGAAGTAGTCAATTGCAGCCCAATGGTCTTATTTGATATTGTAAATCATAAAGAGGAATTCATATTAATTTCAATCTGTTTGATAACCATGAAAAACTACTTGTTTACATGAAAAGAATAGATTATATACTTATGGAGGAGGACTGAAAATCCTTCTTTTGTCATCAGGTAATGCCTTTTTTTGGCCAAAACTATCCTTCAGCAAGAACAGGATGTCAGAAAAGACCTGCCAAAAACATCCCGGACACCATCTTCTATCTTCTTTCCTTAAATCTATCCCGTTTCCGTTTTTGCTGACGCATTCAGCGCTGTGCATTTGCATGAAATAGCACCTCGCAGATTTATTTCGAATGGCCAGAAATACATTAGCATCTCATTTCTTCGGGGCATGAGTTATCTCCAGCACAGTCAGCCCTCTTGACAATTAAAGCTCAGCTGAAAGTGATCCTTAAATAAAAAAAAAAGTACAGAGCTGTAGTGAGTGTCTTTGGATATTTCCATGTTTCAGCAGTGAGGCAGAGTTTCACCCTTAAAGATAAACTTTGTGTGTATGCATTATGTACGTGCTAATTAAGTGTGGCTTTAAGGGCGATAAGAGAACTGAGGACTAATTATTACGCCTGAATTGGGGGCTGGCACTCGTGCTGTCCAACACATTTGGTTTAACCAGTAATGCATTACTCCAGTTATTCCAACTGTTACCACACACTATTTTAGTTACTGCCAAGTACTTTGCTGATTCACACAGCTGCATCATCATTTCTTAATTTAAAAAGATAACAGGGCTAAGATTGTCTTAACAGCTTTCATTTACAGCGAACAATTCACAGAATTCAGGTTAAAGTGCTCAGTAAAAGACAAACATTCTCTAAGCATTTTCTTTTGCTGTATTGTGTCATTAATTGGCAGTTTCCTGTCATGACCATACATCCTTCTAGGCATTAACCTGCTTATGTAAACTCAGGTCGTCTTATTACTCTAAATCATACAAGCGTTCAAACCAAACTATTCCCTTAATCCTGTTATTTACAGCATTTGAGTTATGCCTCAGAATGCAAATTTAAAATGTCTGAGTTGTGTTTGTGCAAGTGAATGGGCACAAGCTATGGGAATATATCTGCATTAAAAAAAGTGTGCATTCAGTCCACACATTATGTGTTAAGTGGAGCGTCTGCCTTTCTTTTGGGAACATGTGCTTGCACATAAATGTTCTTTAAACAAATGTGTGCTATTTAATGGAGAGAAGAACTGGCTCTCCCTGCAGGCCTTTCACACAATCAGCAGGAGACACATGCTGTGGAACGAGGCACAGGAGAGGAGGGCCAGAGAGAATGTGTCAGACTCTGTTCACAGCTTTTTCCATTTCCATCATTAAAACCTGGGGCCTAATCCTGCAACTACTTTAATCTCCTAATTCTGAACCCCTTTCTCTCTGCATAGAGCACACTCCGTTTCCATTCTCTCTCTCTCTGTCTGCCTCTGATTTTAAACCAGGCTGTAGCTGCGGAGAGGAAGCTTTCACACACATACACACACTCACACACGCACACACACACACACTTCCAGCATTTTAGTAGGGTCACTTTACTCCCTTTTAAATCCTTCACATGAATATTCCTCCATGTGATAAGTGTGCATGAAGCTGCTTTGGTGCTCATTTGAGCCGTCTCAGTGATCCTCACCAGCCCCCTGATTGTGATTAATGGTATGTAAGAGGATATACAGCTGCATCATGGGAAGTGCTGCTGTGTAATGGCATGTGGAGATGAGCAGACTCATGAAGCAAATGGAATCACTAGATGACTTGATTACCATGCATCACTTAAAAGAGAGAATTTGTGCGATGGTGCAGCAGATGGCCTGACAGTCCGATCTGCAAGCCAAGCGCTTGCCCTGCTACTTTTCTCTGTGGAAAATATGATATGGCTGTCTGAATGCGAGGCATACTGCCTTGCCGTTGTTTTGCATATACTGCTGCATGATTGGGACAACCTCTCCTGCTCTGCATGAAAATGACAATGTCCCAAATTTAGAAACAAATTCCAAACAGGCTGAGGTTCCTGCAGGAGAGACATATATTTATGAGAACTTCTAATAATACCCAACATTGAAATTAATTTAAAATCCAGCCATGTCATTTGGCCAGTCTTCCCGAGATGCTCATTTATGCTTTCCTGTTTGCCAACCACTGCACTCACTTCCATATTATTGTCTGCTTTTTGCAGATAGTTTTGTCTTTATGCATAGTAATGAGTGCCCTGCTGACACGCTACCCTGCGGGCCATCTGCTGACATCGTTGTGACGAGAAACTCAGAGAATCCGGCTTGACACAAGTTTAATCGACAGAGTCAGAGCAGTCTGGTGTGTGCTGTCCTCCTCTGACTACTGCTTGTTTTTAAGAACTACATGGTAGGGATTCAGTAGACCCAAAGAGGAAAAAATGAGCAGCCGAATCCCTGTGTGAGTGGAAATGTGGCCACTGCAATGCC